CGCTTGTAAGACACGTTATAATAATTATTATATAAAATAACCATTTTTCATAAATAACTGTTTTTTATAATTATATTACCTTATAATAATAATTAAGCTTTTTATAATATTATATTATATATTAATAATAAATATAACGTTTTAATACTTTTATTAAATTTAAAAAAATTTATAAAAACTTATATAATTTTAAATAAGGTTTATATAAATTAAAACTAGGTTTAATACTTCGATTTTATATAAAACGTATATAAGATTTAAATTTAAGTTTAATATTTTATATTTTACGTTTTATATTATAATTTATATTTAAAATTTACGTTAATAAGTTTTAAAAGACGTTATTAAAACTTAAATCACGGCCTCGACTTAAATTACACTTAATTAAATTATCTTTTCAAAGTTATAACGAGGAATTAAACTTTATAATTAATAAGTAAATCTTAATAACTAGGGCTTTTAATTATAATAAAAGATGTTATTATTTAATATAAAAAGATAAAATAACTAGTTAATTAATTATTTATATATATATATAACTTTGAAATATAACTAAGCTTTTTATAACACCGTATTAATTTTATAATATTATAATAATTTATCGTAAACTATATAAGCTTAATTATAACTTAGTAATTAAGCGGCGTCGCTTTTACGTGATAATTATAAGCCCGGCGCTTTAAGCGGTAAAGTCGATTACGTTAGCTTAATAATTTAGCGGTATGTGTTAAACACGTTCTTTGCATATATAAAACATTATTCCCGTTTCGTATGAAACTAGTTTGGTTCTCATAATAGGAGGTTAAGGTTCGATCTCGGTAGAAAGCTACGAGGACGAAATGGGACTTACTTAGAGACTAAGTAAGGGTTATTAAGTGGCTGCTTAGCGGGCGTATACGGCTTTAGCTTACGTACGGTAATTAACCTGCGTGTAAGCAACTTTTAGCCTTAGTCGGCTAAAAGTTGAGAAGTGTATCGTAAACTATATAAGTTTAATTATAACTTAGTAATTAAGCGTCGTCGCTTTTACGCGATATAATTTATTATTATTAAAAAAATAAAAATAAAAATATTTAATATAAAGTTTTAAACGCTTATTAATTTAAATAATTATAAAATTTATTATTTTATAAAATTCAAAAAAAAATTCAAAAAAACTTAATATTATTATATTTAATATATTTAAATTAATTTCTTTAATTTAAAAAAAGTTATTATTATATTATTTTCTATATAAAAAATATAAACTTTTTTTATCTTAATATAAATTAAATATTTTAAAAAGCTAAAAAATTTATAATAATTAACTCGTAATATATTTTTATAATTAAATTTTATTATAAATAAAAAATAAAAATATAGAATTTATTTTATAAGTATTATAAATAATTATTTATAATTAATTTATAAAAAATATTTTATTATAAAATAAAATTACTCGTTTTTAAAAAATAAAATACATTTTTAATAAGCGACGTAAAATTAAAAATAAACAATTATAAATATATAAAATATTTAATATAAAAATAATTTTATAATTAATAATAATAAAAAAGTTCTCGAAAAAGTAATAATTAAATTAATTATAATACGCGTATTAATATAACAAATAAAAATACGTTTAATAATATAATAAATAAAAAATAATTAGCGATTTAAATTTTAAAAGGTTTTAATTAATTTTATTTATTATTATTTCTTTATTTTAATTTTAAAAATCTTTAACTTAAAGATATAATAAATTAATTAACTTAAATTACGTATTAAGAAACTAAATATTTAATATAAATAAGATAATTTAAATAATAATAATTATTAATTAATTTTAATACTATGTAAATATATATATATATTTTTAATTTTTTAAATCAACTTTATATATAATATTTATATTATAACTACCTCGTTAATTTGTAAATAATATTTAATTACTTTATTTAAAATAATTATAAG